AACGCATGAAAAACACACCAAAATATAACGATTGGCATAGCATTTAAAACTACGAAGGTCAAAGTTTACTTGAAAGCAAGTGGCTAGGAGTGAGCTCTACAAGCGAGAGAAGAAACTGTTAGCATAGAACTTACGGTTACATCGAGCAATTTCAACTGTAAACTGGTGAGACCTATCTGCCAATCTAGCACTGCGCTTAAATCCGTAAAGTCGAGGTAACAAAGAGAAAAAAAAAATTCTAGACTAATCCTACTACACTCTCAGTTTTTTCCAATCCCCTCGCTTATTTGATCTTGAAAAAACAATTCAAACCCCACCCCCCGCTTGTTCCATCCCCTCTTCTCGGCCAATAGATTTGATTTATGTTAATTCCAACTACACCCCCTTTTATTTCAACGCTTGTTCTTGATCATTATCATTGAAATAAACTAAATTCTAGACTAACCTAACCCCTGTCCACATTTTTCCACGCACACCTCTTGTTTATTCTTACCGTAAGATTTGGAAAATTAAAATCCAACCATCCCTTTTATTCAAGACCTGAGGGTAGCTGAAAATTACAAATAATGTAGTGATTTCCTTTGTTACCTGTGAAATATAATTACGTAAAATGTCTTCAAATACACATGGCCCAGTGAATAAAAGCACTGGTAATCCAGTAACTTGACTCAAAGAGTTGTGGGCTCAATACCTGGCCTCAAGGGGAACAAATAAGAGTTGAGTTAAAGGGCAGTAACTGAAATTGAAACATGTGGAACCTGATGAAGGCTAGAGCATACAATGGCCGAAACGTCGTGAAGATCAGGACAATAGTCAGAACATTGTAAATAATTACAATACCTCATCTCTGAAATATAGACAGATACGGAAAATAAAGTTTCGTAAGGCTGGAGCAGGCGCATGCGCATGCGCACGGGAGGAAGCAACAATCCACGAAAGAAACAAAGAAATGGAGAAATTGGCATGGAATAATTTCATCATGTTTCGGCTGTCAAAAAGGTTTTCCTCTTCATACCCCCCACCATCCCCAAAATACAAAGGTCGTCATGGATCTGAACTTCTGACGTAAACCGGATATGGTGAATGTCTCTATCAACAACGATCACCGACCAGTGAATCGGAAATGCATGCACAGATGAAAAAAAAAACGCTGCGTTCACTTTTATAAAATGCAATGGAGCTACAGTTGCTCCCAATAAATGTTACTCTTCCATTTCGCCAAATAGGTCCAAAACATTTTCTAAAATAAAGGCTTCATTACCGAGAGTGGTAGCTTAGCGTGTAACTTCATGATTCCTGAAGGCGGATAGTCAAGCATTCGACGCCCTAAAATTGATGCAAATGTCAAGATGGCTGATTAAAAATAAAAAATTGAGATCTTTCCTTTTATGAAGCAATTTCATTATTAATTTTTACGATTTTTTCGTTCGTGTTATTTTTCTTGCTTATTTTTTACGCAGCATTGTTGCCGTTTTAAGTCATCTGTGTAAATCAGTAATAAAACTACGACGAAATTTGAACTCATATTCTTACAGACCTAGCATAGAAATAAATACGATGAGAGATTAATAAAGATGTGGCAGCAAGGCCTCAACAGCAGCAGCAGCAGAAAAATTGAAGCCTCAGTGAGTGCAGTCATGTGTGACAAGTAGTGGCGGCACAGAAGCACTCATCAGCGTAATGTAATTTCGAGTTTAACCATTGTGTTGCGAGGAAAAAACGGAACAGTAATAAATAAGGACTGGCCGAGATATATCTGGACATGGAGAGCGGAACGAGAATACTCGAATAATAAATAGCGGCTCAGATTGAGAAATCTGAGAGCCGAGTTCGAATTCCAGTTAAATCCATTACATTCACTTACGTGCTAATACCCTTGGGAAAGGTATGAATCCTCTTCTTGTATAAACACCAAAGTTAAGCAACATCGAAATTTCTCAGTGCCTACATCGTACACCCACTGTACTGCTTTGTTTAAATTTCAACCAGCCTGCTTTTATTCCAATCGTCGGCCTCATTAGGCCAAATAGGTCCAAAACATTTTCTAAAATAAAGGCTTCATTACCGAAAGTGGTAGATATGAACAAATAGCAGGACAGACCGGGTTCTATAGCCTTGGATGGCAACTGGTCTACCGCAGAAAGAAATGGCAACCTACTGCGGGATAAATATCTGCTTCGTCAGTCATGTATCAAAAGATACATGATCGCCTAAGCGTGTATCATGCATGGTACATAACTGGCTGACAAAGTCTCCCCGATGATAGAAAATTTCCTTAAATATAGCATGAAACTCTGGAAAACGAGATTATACCTAAATCACATAAAAGATACGATCACTTCCAATTATTTGAATATTTGACGAGGAATCTTTCAAGGAGACTTCCTGTCGCCCCCCTCTGTTCTGTCTCTCCTTAATTCATTTTTCGCATGAACTAAACCGTAATAATTATGGATGCTAAATAAATAAAAAAAAGACCTGTTTAATCAACTATTCGGCA